CAAAGATATTCAGCTTTCTTGCTCTGTGGGCCAGCAAGCCTGGTTCTCTGTCTCTGCTTCTTGGTTCCTCTGCTGCCATCTTTGCCAGTCTGTCTGTCACAAAGGTTCAGCACAGGGATCTCAGGTCCAAAGACATGCTTCACTCCACCTCAGGCTCTTCTCTCTTTATGAAAATGAGATCCCCTCTTCTGCCTTTGTTGTTGTTGTTGTTATGTGCCCTTGAGTCAGACCCTACTCATAGCGACCCCTCCGTGGGTTTCCGAGGCGGTATCACTACAGAAGTAGATTGCCCAACCTTCCTTCCGAAGAGTGACTGGTGGGTTTGAACCACCAGCCTTCTGGTTAGCAGTCAAGCGCCTTAGGCACTATGCTACCAGAGCTCCTACTCATTTTAAGCCTAGGAAAATGGAAAAAACTGACGAATCCCCACACCTTATGTCCATGGTCCCACCACCACAAGAGTGCAATGCACCTTATTTACACTACTAACAAGCTATCCAATCCCCTTATAGACCACAAAGCGCCTTACATTTGCAAAGTTCCACCCAGTAGTCTGGTGGGAGTCACAAAGACCATGGCTAGAAGAGCCATACCGAGTAATTCACTGCACCACACCATGGTATTTTCAATTTCCTCCTATGCATGCAAAAGCAGGACAATGAATAAAGAAGATCGAAGAAGACTTGATGCATTTGAAATTTAAATTATGGTCTTGGTCAAGAATACTGAATATACCATAGAGTTCTAGAAGAACAAACAAATCTGTCTTGGAAGAAGTACATCTAGAATGCTCCTTAGAAGTGAGGATGGTAAGACTTCATCTCTCATACTTTGGTCATGTTGTCAGGAAGGACCAGTCCCTGGAGAAAGATATGCTTGGTAAAGTGGATGGTCAATTAAAAAGGAATCCCTCGATGAGGTGGATTGACACAGTGTCTGCAATGATGGGCTCAAGCATAGCAACAATTTGGAGGATGGCACAGGATTAGGCATTGTTTCCTTCTGTTGTACAGAAGGTCACTATGAGTTGGGACTCACTCGATGGCACCTAACAGCAAACAACAACACATACACATACACTTTTCATAGCGAAAATATGGAAAATTATATACTAAACTATTAACAGTGCTTATCTCTAGAGCATTGGTTCTCAAGGTGAGAAGGAGAGGTTACTACTGGTATCTAGTATGTAGACGCCAGGGATGCTGCAAAACGTTGCCCTCTACAATACACAGAACTACTCTCCATAATAGAGAATTATCTGGCTCAAAATGTCAATAGTTCTGAGGTTGAAAACCTTGATGTAGTATGTACTATGGGGGGTACATTATAAGAGATTTTCAATTTATAAATTGCTATATTGCTTGAATATTTTTATAATAAAGTTGTATGTATGTATACATAAACATGTATACATAAACATGCAATGGAAATAGATATATCAAGTAAATATTAATGAATAAAAACCTTATGTAGCTATATTATTTTCATTTAAATAGACTTTTAGGAACAAGCATTTCTAAAAGTAAAAAGATTTATTATAAAATGATAAAAATGAATAATTTACCCAGGATTGAAAAATTAACCATACCCTAGTTCATGAAGCTGGTTACCAAAGAACTTTTCATGTTCTCTTACCAGAATATCAGATTAAGAATTAGGAATCAGTAACAGAAAGATACCTTTTACTCTTTTATGAAAATTTTGACACATATTTATAAATAATTTATGAGTCAAAAGCATATATAATAAACATGTAAAAGATACTCAATCTTACCTGTAATTAATGGAACTAAAATTAAAAAACAACATACTACTTTATATCAACCAGATTGACAAAAATTAAAGCATGAAAATACCAGAAGTTTTTAAGAACATAGAGAAATAGTACTAGTGTGCATAAATTGGTATAACCATTTTGGAGAACAGTTTTACAATATCTAATAAACTTGACAATATGTATCCCAATATACTATAGAGAAATTGTCACACATGTGTACAAGGAGACATGTATAATGTTTTATAATAAAAACAGATTGGAATAATTATAAAAATCCATCAATCAGGGAATGGATAGTAAATTATAATATATTCATACAATGAAATACTATTTAAAGTTAAAATTCTGAACTAGTTTTGCAGATAACAATATTGGAACATTGTGAAATCATAACATTGAAGTAAAAATAAAAGTATTTGTAGTGTTATACTATTTATATAAAAAAATCTATTATATAAAATGAGTACATATTATTTAGGTATACATGCTTATATAGTAATATCATTAAATCATGAGCAAAAAGAATATACCAACTTTAGGATAGTGGTTACTGTTGAGGAACCATAAGGAAAGCTTTCAACCAAGTCTACCATGTTTTATTTCTTTATAAATACATACAAATTTCAAGCATATTATTAATGAGTATTTGATGGCAAGAGATACATGAGTATCTTTTGCATTATTCTCTGCATTTTTCTTAGGGGAATATATTTGGAACATTTTTATAACTGAAGGGAAAAAAATAAAGAATCATTACTCTGTATTATGTAAGGCCCATACTTACGACTGGGTAGACAGGATGGGCAGATGTTAGACTAAGATTAAGAATCACTTTTTAAGGAGTCTTTCCTGATACTCTGCCATGCTACTGGCTAGTTCTCTCATTGTCTTCAGCCAAATTATTAGTCATTTTGTTTTTTGCCATCAAATACCCCATACACACTTCTGTCATATCATATAATATACTTTATTATATTTATTACATATTATTCTCACCATGGAGATGATAAACTCTGTATTTTGTTTGTCTATCTTCTATGGATAGTGTAGTACATGACAAATAATAAACACTAAATGAATATGTGATAAATGAAATGATGAATGATAAAGCAGATTGAAGAAGGAAGAAATTTATAAAGGCACAATTAACAATATTAAAAATTACCTACTTTTAAAATTTGCCTATAGTGACTGGCATTATTTTCTTGTCACAATTCGATAACAGGGCATCCAATCAGACCCTACACATTAGTTAAGATTAAGTTTTGCTATTCACAACTATGTTGTTATTTGCCGTTGAGTCGGACCCGACTCATGGTGACCCCTCCTTGGGTTTCCGAGGTGGTATCTCTGTGGAAGTAGATTGCCCAACCTTCCTTCCGAGGAGTGGCTGGTGGGTTTGAACCGCCAGCTTTCTGGTTAGCAGTCAAGTGCCTTAGGCACTATGCTACTATTCACAACTATGTTGTTGTTGTTATGTGCCGTCGAGTCGGCCCCGACTCATAGCGACCCCTCCTTGGGTTTCCGAGGCAGTATCACTACGGAAGTAGGATTGCCCAACCTTCCTTCCGAGGAGTGGCTGGTGGGTTTGAACCGCCAGCTTTCTGGTTAGCAGTCAAGTGCTTTAGCCACTATGCTACCAGAGCTCCTATAGAAACCCAAATAGTGATTTCCATTCGAAATTTATTTCTCTCACACCTAAAAGCCTGAACAAAAGTAGCCAGGGATGGCATGGAGGTCGTATAGTGCCAGGCACCAGTGCTCCAACTGTCTTGCTACACCACCATCCTCAATGAGGTATCTCATTAAGCAGCTCAAATTCTAATCTTTTTTATTACTATTAAGCACAAAGAAAAAGAGCCCACCTCTGGTTTTGCCAAATTTCCTGGAAGTACTCAACTACAATTCTCCTAGTCACATGGCTTCTACAAAAGGGGCTAGGAGATGTTTCTTTAGCTGAATGGCAATGTTCCTGGCTAAAAAATCAGAAAATTCTAATAATGAGGAGGAAATGGACATTGGGATAGAACTAGCAATTTCTGCCATTTTAATCAACTATGAATGCTAAAAGGAGAAGGTACTTTTCTCATAAAGAAAGAGCCTGAAAAAAGAGAGAAGTGGGTGCCAGAGAAAATTTTTTAGTTTACTGTTTGTGTAAGCCTGTCTCTGATAAAAATTTGAGTATTTTATATTTAACTCAATCTCTCCCAACTTCAGTTTTGTCCTCAATAACAAGATATTAACAAAATTTGTTTCATGTTTTAGAGTGTTACAGAAATTAATGTTAAAACTTATTTTAAATATTCCTGTACTATTTTTCTTCTGCCAAAGTATATACAGTCATGAGCCATATAACATCTGTTTGGGCAATGTCCCACTGCCTATACATCTGTGGTTCCAACCCTGTAAAGCCTCTTATATTAAAAATTCAAGGTACATACATACAATGGTTTGTAATAACAAATGGGTGCTACTCTGCAACACACATCAAAACATTATTATTATTACTGTATTATTATGTTCCTCAGAAGGAAGATGGGGCAATCTACTTCTGTAGTAATAGTGCCTCAGAAATCCAAGGAGGGGTCGCTAAGAGTTGGGTCCGACTCAACAGCACATAACAACCACAACAACATTATGTTAAAGATGTTTTGATGTGTCTGGAAGTGTTTAATGTTTTTTATGCATAGAAAGGTATATTATATACTATATACTAAGATAAACATTTGACTAACTGCTATTAGATATGAACTATATCTAATTGTTCTGACATACAAATTCAACTTAAAGACAGACTTAGGAACAGAACTCGTTCATAATCTGGAGACTGCTTGTATATAATACGGTTTTCACACAACATCCAAATCACAGAACTTTCTATTTTTTAGAATGTATCATGGACATTAAGTGACACATGACCATATTTTAAACTTAAGAAATATTTTGACATTTTATTTCCTGTGCTATGCTTGTAACTTTGGCATTAGCCAAAGTACTGGCCTTGAAAAAAGTTGAGGTGGTGATAGAATGAAGGAGCTAATACTTCACAGGCAATAAATCCACAAACAGTCGGCAGACTTCCGTTGAGCATCTACTCCTTCATTCTGATCACTGCTCCTGCTATTGATTTTTTCATTGAACTGTAAAACAAAGTTGTAATGAAAAGTTTTATTCTTTAGAGATTTGAAAACTTGCTTCCCATGAGTCTTTTTCTTTCCAGGCTCTAAATTATCTTGGTATTCAGCCCACGGAAGAACAACACCAGGCCTTGAGACAGCAAGTGCAAGTAGATTCAAGGGGAACAGTGTCTTTTGGAGGTAATATTAGATTCATTGTGCTGAATTTTCTCAGAAACTTGGTCAAAGAGTTTTTATGACCCATTTTCATTAACATTCCCCGTTCTTTGTAAGAGTTTTAGGAAAAAGAGACAGAGAAAAATAAGACAAGCAGAATTTTAAAAGAGAGAGAGAGAGAGAGAAATAATGTAGGAGCAGAAGAGAACTGCAGATTAACTGTAATTTAAAAAAAGAAGAGAATGCATCTATGAAATGAGTAGGATGCTATAAAATGGTAGTAATCAGAGAACTTAAAAAGGATCCTGTTGTTGTTGTTGTTAGATGCTGTCGAGTCTGCGTTGACCCTGTGTGCAGCAGAATGAAACACTGCCCGGTCCTGTGACAGCGTCACAAACCCTGCTATACCTGAGCTCATCATTGCAGCCACTGTGTCAATCCATCTTGTTGAGGGCCTTCCCTTTTTTCACTGACCCTCCACTTTACCAAGCATGACATCCTTCTCCATAGAATGGTCCCTTATGACAACATGTCCAAAGTAGGTGAGATGAAGTCTGTCCATTCTCACTTCCAGGAGCATTCTGGGTGCACTTCCTCCAGGACAGATTTGTTCATTCTTTTGGCAGGCCATGGTACTTTCAGCGTTCTTTGCAAACACCACAACTCAAAAGCATCAACTCTTCTTCTGTCTTCCTTATTCATTGTCCAGCTCTCACATGCATATGAGGCAACTGAAAATACCATGGCTTGTGTCAGGTACACCTTAGTCTTCAAAGAGACATCTTTGCTCTTCAGCACTTTAAAGAGTTCTTTTGCAGCAGATTTGCCCAGTGTAGTATGTCATCTGATTTCTTGACTGCTGCTTCCATTAGGGATTATGGAACCAAGTAATAAGAAATCTTTGACAACTTCAATCTTCTCTACATTTATTGTGATGCTGCCTATTGGCTCCAGTTGTGAGGATTTTTGTTTTCTTTATACTAAGGTGTAATCCATACTGAAGATTATATCTTTAATCTTCATCATTAAGTCCTTCAAGTCCTCTTCACTTTCAGCAAGCAAACTGTCATCTGCATATCACAGGTTGTTAATGAGTCTTCACCCAATCCTGATGCCACATTCTTCTTCATGTAGTCGAGTTCTCAGATTATTTGCTCAGCATGCAGATTGAATAATTATGGTAAAAGGATACAACCCTGATGCACTCCCTTCCTGATATTAAACTATGCAGTATCCCCTTGTTCTGTTTGAACAACAGCCTCCTGGTCTATGTACAGGTTCCTCATGAGCACTATAAAGTGTCCTTGAGTTCCCATTCTTCTCAATGTTATCCATGATTTGTTATGATCCACACAGTCGCATGCCTTTGCGTAATCCATAACACACAAGTAAACATCTTTCTTGTATCTTTGCTTTCAGTTAAGATCCATCTGACATCAGCAATGATATCCCTCATTCCATGTCCTCTTCTGAATCTAGCTTGCATTTCTGGACATTTCCTGTAAATATATTGCTGCAACAGTTTTTGAATTAATCCTTTAGCATGCTTTTTCTTGGGTGTGATATTAATAGGAGCTCTGGTGGCATAGTGCCTAAGGCATGTGACTGTGAACCAAAAGGCTGGAGGTTCAAACCCACTAGCCACTCCTTGGAAGGAAGATTGGCCAATCTATTTCTGTAGTGATACTGCCTCAGAAACCCAAGGAGGAGTTGCTATGAATCAGATCTGACTCGAAGGCAGTGAGTTTGGGGTTTTTTTGGTGATATTAATGATAATTTCTACATTCTGTGGGATCACCTTTCTTTGGAATGAGTACAAATATGGATCTCTTCCAGTCAGTTGGCCAGGTAGCTGTCTTCCACATTTCTTGGCATAGACGAGTGTGTATCTCCAGTGCAACATCCATTTGTTGAAATATCTCAATGTGCATCCTATCAATTCTTTTATTTTTTTAATTGTGATTTGGGTGAAAATTTACAGAGCAAATTCACTTTCCATACAGCAGTTCATACACACTTTCTCTCATGACATTGACTGCAATTGACCACAATGCAACAGCTCCCCTCCCACTTCCTCCTGATAGTTACCTCTTCCCTGTGTCCATTCCTCCATGCAGTCCTGCCCCCAAGCTGTCTCTCTGTGCATAAATAGCCCTTCTTTCTCCCATGGTTGATCTTTCCAAGGAGTGTATCTACCTCAGGTAAATGTTCAACTCATATGCCTGTCTTTTGTTGGCTGGAAGCCACAGGTACGGGTTCAGTTCCAGACCTGAGGGGTAGCTAGGGGCCATAGTCTCACTGGTTCCACCAGGCTCTATCAGACCAGCAAACCTGGTTCCTTTTTTTTTTCATATGATTCTGAGTTTTGTTCCACATTGTTCTCCCTCTCTATCCAGAATCTCCTACATAGATCCCCCTCCGAGTGGTTGACAGTGGTAGCCAGGCACCATCTAGTTCTTCTGGTCTCACATCCTATCAATTCTTGGAGCCTTGTTTTTCACCAATTCCTTCAGTGCAGCTTTGACTTCTTCCTTCAGTAGTATCACTTCTTGATCATATGCCAACTCCTGAAAATGATGAAGGTCGACCAATTCTTTTTGGTATAGTGACTCTGTGTATTCCTTCCATCTTCTTTCTTTCTTTCTTTCTTTCTTTCTTTATTTATTTATTTTTATTAGGATTTGGGTGAAGATTTACAGAGTAAATTCACTTTTCATACAGCAGTTCACATATACTTTGTCTCATGTCATTGACC